GCTGGCCAAAAAGAGAAAGCGCTTGCCAAGGTGCCAAAAACTGAAACGGCTTTGTTTGTTTTCCATGAACATGGTCATGTTAAAAGTCTCCGGAGTCCAGGAACTCGGGGAATGAGAAGTACGTACCCGCCCTTTTTTGGGGGAATGATGACAGAGGTTGAGGAAGGATGTACTGTTCATTGAAGACCTGCTCTTTCACCATATACCAGCAATCTGAAAAGATAGTGTTGTGGAGTAGCTGGTTTGGTTCGTTGGTTTGTTGGTTGTGGTGGTAGGATTTGTCCACATGCCGGCAGCTGACAACAGATTTTGCTTGATTGTTGGCCAACATAAACAGAACCACAAGCACAAGCACCAACACCACAAACACAACAATGCCAATGCCACCACTAACACTAGCACAAACAAACACTCATCATTGTAGAGTTTCCCGGCAGGCGTACCGAAAACGGTTTGGCCATGTTGCCCCGAGGCGGCTGGGCCAACCATAGCTACTTCCCGTCACCGGAGGACTGGCGAGCCTTGTCAATCTATCAGCTGCCCAGCTGCAACTGTCCGACAGCCTGGACCCTCAAGCTACCAATAAAACCAATGAATTCACCAACCATAATTTTAGCCCAACAAATGAAAGTCAATGATTGAAACCACCTCCAAAATGGTTGGTGGAGATGGATCCCCAGCGAATTCTGATGTCCACCTCGGGGTCCCCAAATAAAGTTCACACCCAGTTGTCCCTCTGTTTTACCTGCCATGGACACTTGTAGCAGGTGTTTTGCAGAACCCTTGATCATTTGTTGCCCCCTTGAACACCAGATTCCTGTTCAAACAAGAACGTGTGCAACGTAGACCTTGTGTGTATGATCGACAATGCGGTCTAGTTTGCAACCACCTTTAAAGTATTGCTTCTTGTTGGGATTTCCTGCTGCACCACTTCCCCCTGGGCCCGCGCCCAAGAGCCTATGCCGGACTCTCGTACTCGTTCTGGTCATTTTGTTGTTGGAATGGATGTCTTTTTTGGGGAGCTCCCAAAATGGCTGGCTTTTCCTGTTTGTTTGCCTTTAAAGCAACATACGATGGGGTGCCGAGCCTCAAACACAGAGGGCACACCCGGTTCGCGGAAATTACACCCGTCTGGACTGGCAAATCCAGACGAGATGCCAAGCACTAAATGCAGTAGTGTTTCCTTTTTGCTTGGGAGGTGCCAAACTACACATTGTCACCCCCGAAAAGATTTTTGTTGCCAGAGTCCCAACTTACCCATCCAGTTGAAAACACATGCGGATGTTGGTGTCTCGATTGCTGGTGCCTTCACCCCAGGGTGCTTCATTACATGTCCAAAAGGAAACAGCAAGGGATCGATGAATTGTTTAACCTTCCAGACCCCTGTTTAAGCTGTTTCACACGGTGCGTGCTTGCTTGCTTGCTTGGCTTGGCTTGGCTTGGCTTGGCTTGGCTTGGCTTGGCTTGGCTTGGCTTGGCTTGGCTTGGCTTGCTTGCTTGCTTGCTTGCTTGCTTGCTTGCTTGCTTGCTTGCTTGCTTGCTTGCCGCCCTTTTGGACAGATTGCATAAGCAAGAGCCATGCCGACTCTACTTTGCCTTGTGAGGCCTCAGCAAGCACGTGTCTTAGTTGGGGGAAGACCTTAAAGCTGACCACAAATCGTGGACGAGGCTCATCCGAAAGGAAAAAGGGGAACGCCTTGCTTTCCGGTTTTAAATATCAGCTTTTTGGCCCATGAAAGGTGAGTGTCCCTTGGTGGGGGTGATCTTATAAGGGGAAACAAAAAGGGAACCTTGCTTCAATATGCAACTTGTAGAAGTACAGTAAATTGTGCAAGCTTGTGAGCCCTGTTTTTTTTAAACCAGCCAGACAACCCTGTGGTTAGGGGAAAAAGAGAACAAAAAACGCATCCCCAAAAAGAAAGTCGTCCGCCGAGGCTCCTCACGGACCGCTTCGCCGACGGGGACCCTCGGAACAACGAGCTGGCCGCCGGGGGCTTCGACGTGCGGGATATGACCCTACGCCACGGCGGGGACTTCAAAGGCCTGCGCCCAGGCGAAGACTTGGCTCGAAAACCGAATTGGAGGGGGATTTTTGTAAGTGTTTTTTTTGTTTTTTTAAGAAACCATTTTGGGTATGGAGTTTACTAAAAGACTTGGAGAAAGCCGACTTGGAATTTGGATTTTGAATTTTTAGGGGCCCGAATTGGTGCATGCAAACCTTTTGGGTAATGGATTTTGGTAAAGCAAACCATCAAAGTGAACCACTCTCAATGGTTTGGGTTTTGGGTTCCCCAATCCCAGGCACCCCGTCTCCCCTTTAGTGGGGATTCAGACCACTTTTGGAGGGAACACCCCCTAATAATGGGACGAATTGTTGATGGGTATGGATGTTGAATTTTAAGGGGCCCGAATTGGTGGCCATGGTTTGCCTTGTCCATTGTTTGTGGGATAAATAAGCAGCCCTATATATACATCCGGCTTTAAACACGAATTATCCTTCCGAGAGGGGGGTCCCCTTGTTTTAGAACTCACGTGCAGGCGCTAACAAGTCTCTACCATAACTTACCATTGGGGGGGTCACGGGAAAAAAATCCTGACCAGGATGGCCAACCCGTCAGGTGAGGCCTCCTGACCCAAAACCCCCCTGGTAGTGGAGAAACCCTTTTGGAGGGCGATCTTTGGTGCATGTTGCTTAGATGTTAGGACCTTAACTTTTTGCCAACTAATGGGTTTTCCATTAAGCCACTAAAGATTAAACTTTTAGCAGGGGAGCAGAAAGCAGCCGAGGTATGGTTTTTAATAAGGGGCCCGAAGTGGTGGACATCAGAGTTCGGGGTGGATTCATGTCCATCACTCTTGAGGTCCTTTCCGAATTCACGACTTTTTTGGTTTAGAGGGGTTTGCCTTTTACTTATTTTGAGGAAGGGGAAAACACTCAACTCAGGGGATTGCTTTACTCATTTTGAGTGGGAACAAACACTTTTACTCAGTTTGAGCATATAGGAGAAAGCACTCGTGCCCCCCTGAGCTGGGGGGTTTGCCTTTTGCTCATTCCTGACGTTTTCTCACTTATTCTATTTACCCAGTGTTTCCCCGAATTCCTGGACTCTAAAGTGAGTCCATCTTGAACCTGTTTGGATTCCCTGATTTAGGTTTCCGGTTGCCGTTCCCAGGTTATGTGTGCAACTGAGTTTGACCACTTTTTGTTTAGCCCTCGGCATCAGAGGGGCCTTTACTCTCACTGCTGGGTACTTCGTGGACCTCATTTCAAGAAACACATTTCCGACCCTTTCAGTGGTGCCTTCTTCTTTTCGTGGTTTCTTTTGGAGGGGTGTTTTCCCCATTAAAACAGACTCCCGTAAAAGAGCGCCTTGGTTTTTGCCCTGGACATCCACCGGGGCTCACATTTTGCTTCTGACTCTGAGGACCCAGAAGCTGCACTACATCAAGGGCCTGGGCTGCCGCGGGATTTGGATCTCCCCCATCTTCCAGCGCCTTCGGCGAGGGATGTGCGCGTCTCTGTTTGAGGCTACCCTTTTTGGTTGGTTCCAACAGGAAAACCACCATTTTGGGGGGGTCCCCTACACAAAGAAACCCCCAAAGCGGTGTGAAGGTCGCCCACAGGGTTCAACTCGGAGGTACCAAGCCAGATGGTTTGGAGTGCTTCCATTTGCTTCGTATGTGTTTATGTTCCTGAGAAAGGAAATTATACCACCGTTTTTATTTTCCAGAGTTGGTTTTAAAGTGAATCAATCCCCGGATTGTTTTATGTGCTTATTCTATTAACGGAGCGAATCCGCAAATGGAAGATTGGGTTAGGATTTGAATAACTGCTGGAAGTCTGTTGGGGTGAATGGGAATCCGCCGGAACTCTCCAATCCAAACCAGTTTGGCTCGGCTCACTGCCTAAGTTCATGGACTTTGGTATTTGTTTGGGTTTGGAACATTCATTTGAGTGGCAAGCAGACAAGTTGGACTTTGTTTTGGCCAATCAACTCACGAAATGAGTAGAGGGAAGCTGAGTTCTGGTGGGTACATTACTTTTTCCCAGACCGCCAGACGTTTGCTAGCCGCTTCATCCCGTTTTTCTTACGGGTGGCCCTTTTTGAAAAAACAAGCACCGAAAACAAGGTGCCCTTTCTTTCCGCGGCCGCTGGGGGTCCGGGTGTTTAAACATTTTCGGGGGTAGTTGTGCTTTTCTTAGTTGACGTGGGTTGGGCGTTTCCAAGCCCAAGAAACAGCGTGGTCACCACCAATCAAACCGCGGGCCCCTTTTCATGGATTCAGTGTGGGGCAAGAATTGTTGCAACAACCATTCCCTGGTTTTACTCCAAGGGAAACCAACAGGAGAGTCTTTGAGCAATAGCGGTTTAAACATGTGTGTACAAGAGGTTGACACAATCATATATTTGACCACGGCACGTATGCTCAAAGGGTCTGGAGGTTTCTTATTAGAATACATGTTCGCTAAGTTGTCCGGTTATGATCAGTCCGCACGTACGCAAGTGGGTGTTTGAGTCAGGTTAACACGCGGAATTTGCTGGTCCCATGCATGGTGAAGGTGGCAGTGACAAGCTGGCCTTCGTTTCCCAGAAGCCTTGATATGCAATCGCATAAACTATTCAAGAACGTACAACACATGAGTTGTCTTGGTTTCCAGGAAAGGGGAGAACCACACTATTTGTTCTGCAACCCTCAAATAAACCTCTCTTTGTACGTATTTCAGTCATGTCCGTATGCCCACATGCATATATGTTTACATAAACTTGTACAATTGTTAGTCTATTGGTTTTGATTTATGTCCTCAATTTCCTATGTGTTCATTTATTTTGGTGAATCTAAGATGGTTTTGACTGCCCCCGATGGGTTTACTACGAGATATACAGCCAGCACGAGTTTATTGGGGTACATACCCTTCATAAACTGGCTATACCGTGGCAGTATACGCCATTCAACGCCTGGGACCCATTAGCTTCGGTTTGGGGGTATTGGAAGTCTTAGACCAGGTCCCCCAGTAGTGCCCTTTTACCCTTTTTTGGGGGAGGGTTCTTCTGCTAAAAAAGACTACGGAAAAATGTTCTCACCTCTCTACTGGAGGACCTAGTTTAGAGTTGCTGGCTGTATATGCCATGAAACCCCAGGGAGCCGGAAGCTTCGGTTTGGGGGTGGAAGTCTTAGAGCTAAGGAACGACCCCCATGGGTTCTTTTCGAGATATGCAGCCACCATATGTCCTCTGAGTGTTTTCAGGAACGGGGAGAACAGCTACCACCAGTACTCCCAGCTGGACTTCACCCTGCTGGACCGGCGCTTGGGCACTTTGGAGGAGCTCCGAGCCCTCACCAGCGCGGCGCACGCGCTGGGCATCTACGCGGCTCGGAGGAAAAAAACGAAGCGAACACCAGGAAGGCGGCCATTCTAGGGGTTGATCCCAGCCATGCGAGGCGCGCAGCTGTTATGCCGGAACCTTAATTCGGTTTCTGGTTTGGCTCAGGGTCAACATGGTGTAGTTTGGGTATTGGTTTTCTAGGGGTTGATTCCCCATTCTTTTCAACCATCGATCTTTTCCAAAACCAGGCGTTTTCCCTGGGTTTCTGGAGGTTTTCTAGAAAGAAGGATCCCTGGAAAGAATGGGGAAGGTACCCCTAGAATTGGGTTCGGGTTTCCTGCAAAATCAACCAAGCTCGCTGGAGGTCTGGAATCAACTTGTGAGAACCTGGTTTCAACCATGGTTTCAAAGGTCAGTAGGTGTGTCCTTCTGGTTGGTCTTAGCGTGTATTGTGTTAAAGTCTCCCTTGTTCAGGGTGTTTTGTTTTAAAGCCTCTCGTTTTTGCGTGTCAGAGGAACCTGGTTAGCTCGTTTGTTTTGCGGTTTCTGTCTTCCCGTCGGTCAAGCTGGTTAGGCGCCGATCCAAAGCAGGGAAAGCATCTTGACAAGCCCGGGCAAAACCAAACAGATCAAATAAAACAAAGCAACCTCGAGAAAGCTAGACCAAATCGAGAAACTGCAGCAAATAGAATCATTCACACAGCAAAACACATGAATTGGTCACTTCTTGTTGAAAGAGTTCATGTCGTGTTTGTGTTTGTAACCTTGATGCCCCCGACGTTGTGCCTTATTTTCCTGTTTTTCTTGGTATGATTTTTGTTGCTGATGTTTTCGAGTTTGTTTGGGATTATCAAGGCGTGTCTTGTTGTTCGTTTCCTTTGCTCGTCTCCAGGTCTCTAGGCTTCGATGTTTTTGGCTACTTTGGCTTAAAGGCTCGCAATGTACAACTGGTAGACCCGCAGAAAATGCCATGTCCTTTTGGTCCTGTTGGTTGTTCACTCCTTGAACGTGGCAGGCACATTAGAAGGAACAACCAGCTAGTCTTGTCATATTTCAACAACATCTAGCTGAGCTAGTCAGAAGCCTCTTTGTCCTTACTAGATGATATCTAAGTTCTATTTACTGCTTGGAATCACATTCCTTGTGAAATCCCAATTCAACCTAAGAATCATGATTAGATTGATGAGAAGCACCAACCAGTTTTCTTACAAATAATGTCGACATTCTATGTTTATCCGAATTAGAGTTCTCCTGCAAAGGACTTTCTGTTTGAATTCAAATTCACCATAACAATTCCAGTTGCATTCTGATTAGAAACCCGCTTTAACTTGAAGCGCTTGCAGATTAGAGCTTGTAAACAGATAGAACTGAAAATGCATGTTCCTTGAGTTTTTATTCAAATTCAACAATGACCAGCTTGTCGTTCCATACTACATTATTTGTTTGAGTTCTGATTGAACATTAATGCCAAACAGGGATGAAAAGGAAGATGCTAAGATAACACAGCAACTCTGTCTCGACTGAGCCACAGCAATTGGCAGCACGATACAACAATCCATGTAGACAACCCCACCGAGTGATTGAGAACTCACAGATACAAACACTCATCAGCAAGCATGCGTACCACTTGCTCAAGATGTCAAGCCTGAAAGTCATACAACAGTCTTTTGTAAGGTGCCTGTTTGTGGTTTGTCTTTTTAAGGGTCTCTCATGTTTAGGGTGTCTTTGTTTAAGGCTCACTTTAAGGGTCCTGTCGTGTTGTGCGGTACACGGTTCCTGTTGTCTTGTGGTTTCGGCAAAACGTCTTCCTGGACAGGTTATCGTGGACGTGGTCATGAACCACATGAGCTGCTTGGCAGCCATCAGTATCCAGCGGTTGACAATTGACAAAAGCATATGACATGTACTGGGTTCTCAAATCAGTTTGGGTTGCACATCAAAGTGAACAAGCTTAAAAAAAACGATGAAGTGGGCCCGCATTTGGAGAGGTTCTCATTTGATTATTTGCTGATTCTCAGTTCGGTGTCCCCGGTATGTTTGACTCACTTCCTGAGTTCCGTTTCGAAGTTTATACCCTTTTTGGGTTTGAACTGTTTTAGTGGCACACACAAAAGAAATCAGGAAGGCTTTTTGGCCAATCCACTCGAGTGAGTTAAGTCAAAGCGAATCGACCTTGGACCTTGCCTTGTCTTTTGGCCCAGTCCCTTTGTTCCAATTCTATGTCCAGCCGCATCGTGGGCCCTCAAAAAGGCCCTGGAGGTCCAAAACCTAAACCAAAGCCCGGCAATGGAGGGGCAAATGATGCGTGTTTTTGTTCTTTCTTTTTCTTAGAGTTTTTTTTACTGCTTCCCTTTCAGCCTTTGACTCGTTGGACTTCTCATTGTGGCCAGATGGTGAGGGCCGAAATGATAGAATGCAGTTGTAGGTTTCCCATAACACCAACTGGGTATGGGTCAAAAATTAACCAACAGGAAATAGACCGCAGGTTTTAGTCCTTGGTTCCACTATACCAGGGTTCCGTTTCGGGGTTACCCGATTTTTGACCCACAGCCAACTTTTGCCTTATGATCATGGGAAGTATCCAGCCACCAATATTAATATCATACACATGTTGCCACAGGTATATGTCACTGTATTGTCACACACACACATGCACATGTGCATATGTACACATGTATATTATATGCATGCGCTTGCAATGCTTCAGGTTTTCGTTTGCTGATTAAAGGTACCAGGAGGCAGAACTGCTCCATGTTGGAGGGCAAGCCCCAGTTGACCAGGAAAGGTTCCTCTGAAATCAACCAGCGGAAAAACGACGAGAGGCCTTCTCTTCCACCTCACTCCAAATCACGAGGTTGTGCCTACTGGCACTGCACTAGTCACAGTTCGCGGGAATCTGGGCTCTCAAGCCCTCTCCTACGTTGATCTCCAAAAATCAGATCTCATTTTTTCCGGGGAATTCGCGTTTGCGCTGTATATTTCCTCCGCTAAGTATGAGAGTTCAGACCCTCCATTGATGTAAGAGGGACCTTCAAATGAGGTGTTGGTTGCCTGAAGGGCCTTACCTCCAGTTTAGATTTTGGTTGCCTCAAGGGCATTCAAGGGCCTTCCATTGAGGGTAAGAGGGGCCTCCATGTTTCGGGGCCTTCTGCGGCCTCCCGTTCGAGCCCTACGGATGACGAGTCACGCGTCGAGGCAACGAGTTCTTCTTCGAGGGCCACGAGTTCGGCGCGGCGCCCTGGCGCTTCCACGAGGCGTTCGCTGGCCCTTCGCTGGGCCGTTCGTGGGTCGCTGGGCTTGGGATCCTCCCACCCAAAGGAGACGCATGGAACGTGACATGGCTGTGGTTGTCAAGACCAATGGGATCCCATTTTGGTTGGGTTTTCGGTGCACCACCCATTTTAGAGCCTATTTTAGTGGGGATTGAATCGGATGTTCACTGGGGGTGCCAGTGGGGCGTGCTGGAAGACCAGCTTCACTTTAAAGGGACCTGGCCACGAACGTCAGGTTTTCCATGTGAATTGTACTTCCTTGGAGGTTTAATGTACGTCAGGTAAGTAGGGTATGACTCTGGTTGCAACCGAGGGAACCGGGGTGATCATCTAAGACATGGATACACTTGCAAAGCTGTTGGAACATAGTTGTTTACCTTTGTGGGTCCAATTTGACCCCACTAAAACCAGGTGTTGTGGGTGAAGTGCGTGCCCTTTCTTTCAAGTGGATCGCTGCAGTGGCGCTTTCGAAGGGCAAATATTGACCTTGTCACGTTTGGGGGGCTTGCGACACATTTCACCCAACAGGTTCCTTTCTTGGAGGGGCCATGTTAGATTTTCGGTTGGCGACTTATTTCCTGCTCCGTGACTTAAACTATTATGCATTGCCCAGATGGTATTGGGTCCTTTTGTTTTCCTTCTGGTGCACCCAATTCGGGAACAAGACTATTCTTGGCCCTTGCTCGTTTGACGACTCGCTGACGCGCCATGCGAGCCTGTACCGTCGATTCCCTAGACGGAATGCGGCTATTACTAACGACCCAACCAACGAATAGCTTCTTAAACTTGTACCGCCATCCCTCCCACCAACTAACATGGAAGTGCACAAAGCCCTTTTCCAAGAGGAACGTAGTCGTTCTACAGGGGCCCCACACTTCCATGTTAGTCGGTGGGAGGGTACATCAAAAGCTGAGGGCTACAGGTATGAGCTCTCTTTTTGTGAGTTTTCGTGTTGGATTCTTGAGAATAGGCTTTTGAACACTGCCCGCATCTTGGACTCTCAAAAAGGCAGTTCCTTGAAATGAGGCAATCAACACCTAAGCCAATGGAGGTCCCTGAACGCCCCACATCAATGAAGGATCCGAAGTCTGGTGCTTGGGGCTGGGTCTTCACGGAGGAGCCACGAGCTCGAGCCAATTTCTTCAGGCGTCCAAGTGACACAGCTGAGATGTTTCCCAAGTGGGGAACCACGGAAGCTTTTCAAGCCCCTGCGCTAGGGCTATATGTATATATATATATATATACATAATATATATATATATAGTTATGAAGCTCAGATGGTTTGTGGGCAATGTGACGCACTCAGTGGAGTGCCAGGACGCGCACGGCGAGCGTGAGTACTTGTTGCGGCCCCGAAGGCAGGACGGACGTGGCGATCGGAGGGGGGTTGCCCTACACAGTGGCAAGCTCGCCCGGGGGCGAGGCAAAACAAGCTCGCCATGATGTTGGGGATCCCTCGCTCCATCTCAGTGCTTCGAAGAAAGTTTGCAGTTTCGTTCCTCACCTCTTCTGGGGTCAAAGGAGTTTTAAAGCCACAATGTAGGTCCTGAAAACTTGGGCATCCAATTCCTAGTTCAGGTTTGGAACTGTTTGTAAGCCGCAAATAGGGTTACTTCAAGTTCACTCTAAGCCTAGTTTGTTGCCTTTTTCAGCGAGAAAACAGAGGCCAAGAAGGGATGAAGAAGGGTCAAGTTGAGGGTGTCAAAAAGAAGAAGGGTGGTCAAAGGGTGCTCAAAGGCGGTCGAAATGGGTCAAGAGATGGGTCAAGAGATGGGTCAAGAGATGGGTCAAAGGGGGGTCACGAGGACTTCAAGAGGCATCTGAAATCCAAACTCCCCCAGGCCCGTCACCTACTCAAGCTTAGTTGAAACCCTGCAACTACTTTCAGGGGGATCGGATTAAAGGAAACTTAGGGGGTCAAAGGAACAAACGACTGAGGATTAATCACGGGGTGGTACTCCGTTGATGAAGCGATCGATTCTGTTCCGTAGCGTTGGCGTATGATATGGCCTAAAGATTGTCCGAATCTGTCATGGGCCTTTTCTGGGTGTGAAAGTGACTCGCCAGACGTTTGAAGCAACTTTGCAACCACTTTTTTTTTCAAAGAAGGAGCCAAAGAAGAAGAAGAAGAAGAAGAAGAAGAAGAAAAGATAAACGGAGTAACCTTTTCTCGAAACCAATTACCAGAAAGCTTTGGGTTTGTGACTCTGGAGTGTGGACGGTTCCGGAAGGGTGCCAAAAGGATTTCTGTTGAGAGGTGCAACCTGGGCTTTTGCATTTCTTTCTTTTTGAAGGGGGTCTCCTTGAAAGCATCGTTTATTTTAGGGCAGGCAACATATCGTGCTGTCACTGTTGTTTAGGTTCCCCTCGGGCTCACCACAAAGAGGGAAGCTGGCCTGGGCTTAGTTCAGCTGATGGTTTCGGGGTTTGACTGCCAGCTCCTGAAGCCAAATGGATTCGTCTTATTTGGAGTTGGTACCCCTTTTTGCGGGAAGCCAAAAGGAGAACACCATTTGGAGGTGCCCGCATTTGCGTTTGGTTTGCTTTCACGAAAGGAGGGCAGGCGGAAAATCAATCTGAAGTCCGCTCAAAATGGTGAAGGTAGTCCGCTAACGTCCAAACCAACATATATGCCACGTGTTTTCACGCGTTTTTCCCGGAGGCCCGCAAAGGAGCTCCAGCAGACCCCGGCGGGGCGACAGCCCTATATGGAGTCCTGATGGCACTCGAGTTCGTGGGGTTTTTTAGTCAACTTTTGGGTTTTGACCCCATATTAACCAGGCTCCCGCCTGCTGCCGCCGACCCTCGGCGCATTAAGGGAAAAGTCATAAGGACCGGTCCTGAAACACGTCCGCAAACCCAGGGACCACTTATAAGATCCTCTACGACCACAAACAAGGATTAACGGAAAAGTGAGAAATATGGCAGCTAGTCCGTTAATTACCGCTCGGGCCGGCTTGCGCCCAAGTCACTTCGAGTTGGCCCGGGAGCAGTCGCCTCTCCCGGGGTCGCCCTGAAACTGGCCCTCCCGAAACTGCCCCGGGGACAGTTGCCCTGGACCGGTCGCTGGCAGGGACCGGGACTTGGGACTGTCCTGGCGCGGTTTGACTCGACGTATTGGACTCTCTTGCAGAATAGATCCAGGGATCCTCTACGACCACAAGGATTGACGGAAAAGTCAGACAGATGGCAGCTCGTCCGTCAATGACCGCACGGGCCGGTTGGCGCCCAAGTTACGTTGAGCTGGTCCTAGAAACAAGGCCGTCGGTTCCCCTCAACCGGTCGCAGGGAGTGACTGGGACTTGGGACCCTGAAACACGGGTGCCAGTCCGGAAACAGCGACATTGGAGGAAACACGTGTCTGGAGCGGTTTGAGGTGACTGGTTTTGGCTGACTGCAACTAATCTGAAGCAGCAGAACCAGGGTCCCAGGACCAGTCCCAGGACCGGTGCCAGGACTGGTCCCAGGACCGGTCCTGGGACCGGTCCCGGAACCGGTCCCGGGACCGGTCCTGGGAATCCACTTTTTGTGCTTTCGGGCGTGTCCCCCCAGGGACCATCATGGATTCCAATCCCTTCCAGTTGCATCCCACGCCGGTCCCCTCTGCAGGAGGCTGGGACGGGAGGCAGAGGGTCGGCGGATTAATCAATCCCAGTTTATCAAGCTTTTGGAGGGGAACACCCCCTAGTAATAAACTGGGGTTGATTAATATGGGGTCAACATTAGTGGCAAAACAAGAAGTTCGGCTTTTTTTCACTTTCAGTCCACTCAGGAAGTGAGCTTAGTTGTGTTTTCTCTAGGTCCCTGACTCCAAGCATATTTGTTTTGAATGTTGCGGGGGGCAAAATACGCAACAGAATCAAACAAATACTTGTACTGTTATTTGTTCAACCCGTATGTTG